ATCAATGCGTGCACACATATGATTCAGGCCTATTAAAAGTGTTCCCATGCTGAAACCAGAAAGTCACTTCCTCTCCAGCTTATTTACCTTGCTTTCAAACACGTAAGTGGCATTGGATTAACTGAGTGCTATTTCTATTTGTCGCATGCTCTTTTTTGTTTGGTTATATGAGCATACTATTTATTTGTTTATTTTTCCCGGCAATGGGTGCGATAGGGGGGGGGCAATTTGGCTGAGAGGGACATTTCGCACCTTCGCTACTTCCCATGTTCGTGTTCATTGCTTTACAGGAGATACGAAGAGTCTCTACAAATATTGCTGGTTTCTTCATGGCTGCAAATTTCACAGATCTCTACTTGATGGCTTGACACGACTATGAGGAGCAGCGATACCAGCGATACTACAAAATGTCCCTTCCAAGGCGACCTGCATCGCGGCAGGGCCTGACAAAAACACCTGCGCGGTCTTCAGACCAAATAACGGCTCACATCTCGCCCAGAACAACCTGGCCTTCCTGTCGACGTCATCGAATCGCTGATACCAGGCTTGTGCTGGGGGTAAACACTGCTTTGTACATTGATAAATTCCTGAAAGTCGTTATGTAGACCAAATGCACATTTAAAGGTCATCCCAAAATTGAAATAGAGTGCACGACGAAATATCCACCAATGCTTGCAGCTCTTTCGGTTACCTTTTCAAGGGCAAAGTGACAGCTTGAACGCGAATTACTCAATTTCTTATGATTTTTTTTCGAACCTTCATATTTTTCTCTGTATCCTTTCTAGGCAAATGTATCCCACCGCTCCTCCTGACGAGGCTCCTCCCACCTACGAAGAAGCCAAGGTTCACGCCGTATCACGTCCAGAGGTATGAGTTTCACAAGTTTTATATGTTTGGCGGTTCCTACTTGTAATGAAAATCACTTGGATAGTACTGGAATAACGCGGAGCACTTTTCGGCCCAGGGAGGGGCATTTTCCTCCCTGGGCAGCAAAGCGGTTCGCTGGTTTCTCCGCATTTCGTTTTCCTCTTGATGAAACCTGTAAATTTCCATGAAGCTGTGAACTGGTACAACTAACAGGTTTGAACAGTAAAGGCTGCATAAAAGACTCGTTGGTGCCCTATGTAGCTCAACAAGAGTTCACAAGTCCAAAATGCACCCCCCCCCCCTTCTCCCTTTCTTTCACCGTTTCCCCCTAATCGAACAGCTCTCATTACAGCTTTCAAATAATTGGTTTTCAGGCGTTGGTTGAACAAGGTGGAAGCCAATTAGACCGACCTCCACAGTATGACGGTGAACGAACACTCCCCCGTGAGCTCGAATTTTTGCCGAAAGTTGAAGTGACGAATTCATCAAAGACTTGCGGATGGTGAGTACAAAATCACTGATTCAGTTTACTTCAGGGTACATACAGACGTTACACATACAGTTATGATGTCCTGAGAAATCAGTTTCATCGTGGGAATGGCTCTGGGAGGAATTCAAAGGGAACGAGTTCACTGTGAAGTTCCCATGTATGGAATGACCTAGCTTACTGGGAGCTACTAGTATTTCTTCTATAGCTGGGTTAATCTACCGTACGAAGGAAATGAAGCCGCCACAGGGGTAAAGATTTGCCTTACATCATGACGTGAGGCTCAATGTGCGTTGTCTTCTCATCAGAAGAGATGCTCCTACGGTCATTGCGGGGGCGGAGGCATAGATTGGCGACTGCACAATTTCCAGTCTTCGGCATCTTTTCCTCTCCTCCGCCCAAAGAACAAGGTTCTGAAGTCTCCGGCAGGCGCAGTTCTTAGCTCAGCAAAATACCAATAGCCAATACCGTTTTCTTGGCAGTGTGTGAGAGTGCAACAATAAATTGGGAAATATTGGAATTGTAGTAAAAGCTCCTTGGCAACTTTCTGCTGAAATTAATGAAAATGCTCAGGTTGGGTCGTTTCGTCAGGGACTGAATTCCAGTATGGATCGCATGGGCGTGGACAATAGACGGCCGTGGTTGACCGACTTTCTTGTGCCTTTCGCTGGTTATCATCTTAGAAGGAGGGGTGCAAGAATGAAGAAGAAACAGTAGTTGAAAACCACCAAGCGATGTTGCTCCGTCAAAAATATCTCCGCCGTGACCGTATGGGCGGGAACAGACCTCGAAAACTGGATTAGTCATTGATCGGACTGTCGCCACTCATGTCATAGCGTGGTATTGCTGCTTTAAATGTCGACTTGGACGTTCATAGGCAAGGACTCGTCGAAGTGAAGCTCTTGACAGGACGCGTGGTGGGCTGCGCCGTCCCTCAGGATTTCATACGCCCTTTTCCGCGTGCAGCAGCGGTAGGGGCGCAGTATTTGGGGCGGTGCGAAGCCTCCGCTCCCAGATTGCTGAATTGGGCAAGCGAGAAGCAATCTGCGTCTAAAGCAGGGTGCGGCACCCAAATCCACCCCCCTCGGCCACGCAATGATCTTCAATGAAAACGATTACAAGTTATTGTACTTTGTATACGTGAGAATAACAGCCAATCTTGAAGGGACATTGTTTCAGTTCCGTGATTCGTGCCCAGCCGGGATCAGAACACGACGGGTGCCAAACAATAGGTAAATACTTTTGAAATAAAGGTAGTTTACCTTGCCAGCGGCGAGCAGAAGGTTCAAGAGATTGATACCGAGGAGAACAACGAAAAGGAAAAGAAAATATACGAAGAGAAAAACTGGCATATGGCAGTCGAGGATGGGGCTGCACAGTAGCTCGAGTATGGTACCACGATCGTGGGGATGGGTGGCTCGGGAGAGATTTCACAAGATAATCCCACGCGTCGCACTTTCCTTCCTTCTCTGGTATGCACTCCTTCTGCGTCATCCACGCTACCTACCATCTACGTCTATCCCATTTCAGAAGCCTCTGAATGTGTACGCGCATCACTTCCATAATCGCCCTGAGAGGGCACAGAAATAACGTGGGGCACCACAACTGTGGCTCTCTTCGATGGCTTTTCGCTTTCCGGAAAAAGGAACCCTGGGCATTTATGCCTTCCTGGCTTTGAAGTACGGTAGCGCTATCGCTCCATAAAGACCCAGTGCACGTCGCATCGCACGTCACAGTACAGCCGTCATCTGGGCAGTTGAATAGGCGGCCAAAGGGCCGTGACGCGGCGGCGGCGCGTGGTCGCGACGCGGCTGCGGCGCGTCACGACCGCAGGCGATTAGCTGTTTCCAGCCTGGTTTAGCCATTTTCTCCCGAGTTTTCACTGTATTTTCTATTTTCGAATCGTTTTATTGACCTTCTCTTGACATGTTTCCTTTGGTTTCCATGTAATACTAAATTCGCAGTTTTCAGTTTTGTGCGAGGAGTGTAGACGTGAAGGAAGAGCGAGTCAATGATGCCTGCTTACGTTGCTGTGTTCAAGTTACATGTGAAGTAATCATGAGAATGGCAATCGAATTGTGTTTTGCTTTTATCTGCCGAAGATAGCTGCTAACTACAACTAATTACTTTCATCTTGTACTTCTAACTAAACTCTGTAAATTATTGCAGTATACTTACAACAATTCTTCCTCGTTATCTGGTCAACTGTGGTTCCTTTCAGTCTCCTCTACGATATTTTACCAGAGACAGGTGCCTGCCTTATTAACAGTCGTTATCACTGAAGCCAGTGCTTCAGCACAACGTGCGTTTTAGCGAGCCATTTTGGCGCTTGTCCCTTTTCCACTGCTCACTGAATGGCTGTAACCGCAACAATCGATGAAAAACGTACAGGAGCAAGCTCAGGCCTTGCTGACACGCCCCGACTGGCTTCAGTGATAATGACTGTAAGAGGAAGCCTAAACAGTAATCTATGCGTGTCCGTCGGAGCTATAAAATCA